GTCCGTCCTGGCTGACTGTTCCTCCCAGCAGATGTCCGGGTAATTAAAATCACCCATGACAACTACATCCCTTGCCTTAAGTGCCTCTGCAAGCTGGCCCGAAAATTCCCTGTCCAGCTCCTCCCCTTGGTTGGGGGGTCTGTAGTAGACCCCCACCGTCAAATCGCTCTCCGCATGGTCCCCTTGAATCTTAACCCAGAGCACTATCTTGCCTTCTACTTGACTTCAGACTAACACAGCTAACTATGTCTCTCTGAAGAGTCAGTCACTGCTTAAGGATATATAGAGTTCTGCATGCAGAGTAATGCTCCTATCTGTTTCTTATCTGAATGACATATTTTAATAAAGGGAATAAGTTATTTACAGAAAAAGCCTTTGCACAGTGTATGAAGAGTGGAATGAACACTTGTACCATACAAGTCCCACTTAAACTATTTTGTGGGTTGATTAAAATAGTACATGGACCTGAGACTCTATGTAGGGGTACATGTTTCCAGAAGTTAATACTTTGTCCCATATTTGCCTTTGAAAAATCTAAACAGAAAGGATTCCCTGCAAAGTCTTTTGTTACTGAATGTAATTTTGTTTCCTTCAGGGATCTGGATGAAAATGTTGCCATTGATCTCCCAGAAGTAAGTATACAGAGCTATGGATTAATTCAGCATAATCCAGCATGTTTTATTTGCACTAGAGGAACATGAATACATAAGACATTTATTGGACAATTGACTAATTAACTGTGCAGTAAACATCTCAATGTCTACACATGTGCCCCATTAGGGCACATGAAACTAATAAACTCCACAGCAAGGTTGGGACTTGTAAATATGCACAAAAGGTTGTGCTAGATATATATTGTTCCTGGAGCTTCCTAGGAACAATAAACTGTGGAATAGTAAACTCCACAGTTTATTGCTGTGCATTAATGGCCCATGTAGACTTGCCCTGTTTGGTCAAAGCTGGTTCCTTTCCTAGAATTTTATGCAAGCATTGTTATTTTGTATGTGACTGAAATTTCCTGTTATGTTGGCTGTAATAAAACAACCATAATAATAAAAATAATAATTTTTCATGGGTTTGCTGATAAATAGCTGGAGTCAGAAGGTAATTAAGGGCTGGATCCTCAGTTGGTATAAATCATCACAGCTCACGAATCACCACTAACAGCTCCCCTGAAGGTGCAAACAGAAGTGCAGCTCCTGGGTCTAACTCATAGCACGTCACAGAAAGCACCATGAATTAGACTGATCCTGCTGACACAATTGATGCTAGCTGTTGGGTCACGAGGGTGGGTGATTGAGCTCCAGTTTGGAACCAATATAGGGAGAGAGACTGTGTTTCTGCAGCCTCTTCCCCTAGCTCCACCCTCCCAGCTCCCATTTTGTCTCAGGATGGGAGAGAAGGCAGGGGAGGGAGGTCTGTTCTGGGGCTTTCCCAGCCACGCTGGAATGGAGGGGTAGGTGGATTTATTTACTTTAATATTTCCCCATTTTTGTTGTAGCCCCCTAATCCAGCCATAACCCAACAGGAAACTGACGAGGAAAAACAATTCCGGGCACTGTTTGAACAAATTTCAGGAGAGGTGAGTGAAAAATCACAGATGTCCTGCAAAAATCACAAATGTACTGCAAATATAGTGACCCAATATAGAGACATAACAGTAACCACTGCTGTCATTTTACAACTTTAGGACCTGGAGATATCCGCAGAGGAACTTGAAAATGTTCTGAATGCAGTATTGAAAAAAAGTAAGTGTCAATACTAAACACATTTGCACTGATACGGGGCAAAGCTCCCATGTGTCTTTCACGCAAGAATTTCTAAATACCTTATAAATGTGGTCATTTTACCATTTCCAGTTGGGAGAAAGGAGATTTAGCAATTAGCAACATGTCACATAGTAAATCAATGGCAGTGTCAAGAACAGAATCCAAGTTCCCTGATCCAACCACTAGTATATCCTATTTCCTGAAAGACCCAGTGTAGTAAAGGCCTTTAAGAAATGGCCAGCACACACAGTTCCTTTGTAAGTCTCTTCTTATCTAGGAAACAGGGAGGAGTGTACAGCCTCTCCTCTCTCCCGGGATGCTTGACCTGTTTGTCAAGGAGACTGCATTTTCCTCTCTGTTTCTCTGTATCCCAAACAAGAGTCAGCTGGAAACTTCCCTAACCTAGCTTTGCCATTGAAGGGAAAGGAGAACTCAAGCCTAGCCTGCTCTGGGGACTCCAGTCTCAAGTCCTAAGCATCATGTCAGCAGTATGTGTTTGACAGATCCCAGCCTTCCTCCCTCAGGTCACATTTTCCCCTTTTTCAACTGCATCCTTTCCTCCACAGATATTTTAAGAAGCCCAAGCTGGAGTAGGGTAGTACTGGCCTACAAGAGTTCTCTTCTAAGTCTTAACTGGTGGACACTATTGTACTCATGGGATCCACTTTTTTCCACAAGCAAAATATTAGAAAATAAATTCTCAGGACCTGATCCCACACCCAATAAAGCCAATAATAAGTGATTTCATTAAATTCCCAGTAAGAGCATTCAACTTTGGATCAGATGCTCATTTGTAAGGGGTCATTCAAGTGTAAATGTAACACCCTTCAAGTGAAACACAAAAATACATAGAATCCCCACCCTGTCACTCCTGCTCTGCAGCCTCAGATTGTCAAGATGGTAAAGTTCCCTGACTGATTGTTAATGAAACTCCAGGTTGTTTTTCCCAAATCTAGCCCTACAGGCCTTACTCATAATAAATAGGGATATTAAATGAGACTTTCACTGAAGTCAGTAGGATTGCTCCTGTGTGCAAGATTTGCAAATTTGGCCCCTGTGGTTCACTCCTTTCCAATTAGATGTAATATTTTAGCATGTTCTCTTTGCTAATGAAGGCATTACAGTTCTTTATGCTTTTAGACATTTTTAGATTGTTGTTTTTCTGCCCAGTGATGTATTTCTTATTTCATCTTTTCACAGCAAAGAGTATCAAATTCAAGAAATTAAGCCTCATTTCATGCAGAAACATTATTTCTCTTATGGATGTATCCTTTCAAATGTTATGGGAAGACTTTCAGGCTCAAAGCCAAACTGATACTAAATATGTATAAGTGCCTGTAGCTGTCTTCCCTGTTCCTAAGGCTAAGGATGTGCATGGTACTGCAATGAGGTGGAGGTACACTAAGTGCAGCAAACAAATGTAAATGTTATAGCCCAGCATAAACTACTGAAACTGGTGGTGGGAATTCCAGAAACACTCAGCTTTTACTACAGGCATCAGTGGGAACTGACTTTAGTGGGAATAGAGGTAGGCAAACAGAGGTACTCCAGTGTTGAGCACTTCAGAAAAACTCACCCCTTTGATTTATATTTAAGATGTGAATAGTTGAACTACTGAGCTGCAAGCTGGAAAACCTGGGAATCTCTCTCAGCTAGATCCTTGCACTGAGGTTCCTAGCAAATACCTTTCTTTTCAATTGCTTGGTTACTACTGAAGCTTTTTCACTCTCCAGCTTGAATGACCAGATGCCCATTTATCTAATCCTTTACTATAGTTGGCAAAGCAACAGTAATATTAACCTGGTATCTGGCTCCTGCTTGCTCTATCAGAGCCTATCTAGCCACTAAGTTCTTTCCCCTTTTGCTTTTGTTTAACTTTTCCTTGAATAAACGACAGATCCCCATGAGTATTTGTAATAAAAAAGCAAAACAAACACAACTTTATTTCCTCTGAGATACAGCTGCAAAATCAAAGCTCAACCCATGTTGGCCAAATGTAGTTTCTAAAGTTGGTGCAGTGTAGTGTAAAGTTGGAATGATGTTGCAGTCATGATGCTCCAAGATGTATGCAAGAGGAAAGGATTGTTGTGGGTGATATCTTTTATTGGATTGACTGCATGGTTAGGATAGACACAGACAAGCTTTCAAATGCAGGATATTAATCCCTTTCCTTGCCTCCTCCTAAAGTTGGTGAAATTACCAAGCAAAATTCTGTCTAATTTTGAGCAAACCAGGGAAAATTTATTCTTGTGCACCAAAAGCAAATGGAGCTTAGTCAAAACAGTGCTGTACACAGAATTCATAGCAAATGTAAGGAGGGGCTCGCCAGCATGAGTCTAAATCACATGAAACATTTGCGCAGACCCCCTCTATTATATTCTACTAAATCTACAAGTTACAGTCTTCCATCGCTCAAAGTTTTAAAACTTGATGTGTAAAGTTAGACACCTATATCCACACTGAGGCATCTAAATACATACCCTGATCTTCAGAGGTGCTGAAGTACCTCTATTAGTTTCAGTTTCATAGTGCTTAGGGTCAGAAGGGACCTAAACAGATCATCAGGTCCGACCCCCTCCCCCGGGCAGGAACAGGTGCCGCAGTCATATCACCCCAGCTAAATATCTGTCCAGCCTCCCCTTGAAGACCCCCAAGGTAGGAGAGAGCACCACCTCCCTTGGGAGTCTATTCCAGAGCCTGGCAGCCCTAACTATAAAGTAATGTCTCCTGATGTCTAGCCTGAACCTTCTCTCTAACAATTTGTGGCTGTTATTCCTAGTAAACCCGGTGATGCCCGGGGGAACAGAGCCTCCTCCAGTTCCCAATGGTCCCCCCCTAGTGAGTTTGTAAATGGCCACCAGATCCCCTCTCAGCCTTCTCTTGTGGAGGCTGAATAGATTCAGGCCCTTCAGCCTCTCTTCGTAGGGCCTGCCCCACTGCCCCTTGACCATGTGAGTGGCCCTCCTCTGGACCCTCTCAATGCTAGCCACATCCCTCTTGAAGTGCAGTGCCCAGTACTGGATGCAGTACTCCAACTGTGGCCTGACCAGTGTCACATAGAGGGGAAGGATCACCTCCTTGGACCTGCTTGTGATGCATCTGTAGATGCACAACAAGGTGCAGTTAGCCTTACTGACCACTTCCTCGCATTGGCGGCTCATGTTCATCCTGGAGTCAGCAATCAGTTGTTGTCTACCTAGTGGCCTCCCTTTCTAAGGGAGGCTTATAATGTTGTCTTGTGGGCATTTGCCCATGTTCCTTAGGCAATAATTTGGCCTGTGTCACATAGTGGCAGAGTGGATGCTAAAAGGGAGCGTGAAGTGGGTATGACCAGGGTTTTTTTCCAATGTTCCTCTCTCACTTGCAGCCTCCAGAATTTAAGGTCTAGGAAGTTTGATTCAAAGGCTGTATCGCTGACTCTCATGTTCAATAGCTACTGATGTTCCTTTCCTCCAAGAATTTGTCCAATACCTTTCTGAGTCTGGCTAAAGTGTCAGTTTCTACAACATCTTGTGACAATGAGTTCCATACTTTAATTACATGCGGTGTGAAAAAGAACTTCCGTTTGTTAGCTTGAAACTTACTACCTACCAGTTTCATTTTGTGACTCCTGGTTCTTGTATTGTTAGAGATAGTAAATAATAAATTCCTATTTCCTTTCTCTTCACCATTTAGTATTTTGTAAATACCTATCATTTCCCTCCTCTTTTCTAAACTGAATAGGCTTAGCCTCTTTGGTCTCTTTTTATGTGAAACCCCCTCCATACCACTAATCATCCTTGTTGCCCTTCTCTGGACCTTCTCTAGTACTTCTATATTCCTTTTGAGGTGTGGGGACCAGAACTGGGCACAGTATTCAAGGTCTGGATGTACCATAGGTTTATAGAGGGGCATAATGATACTTTCCATTTTGTTTACAATTCCCTTCTTAATAATCCCTCACATTATATTTGCTTTATTGACTGACAGTTGCTGAATACTAAGGTGGTGTTTTTAGCGAACTGTCCACAGTGACTCCCAGGTTTCTTTTCTGTGTAGTAACAGCTAATGTAGAGTCCATTATTTGAGCCTATATGAATGTTTTCTGCATAGATGGGCATTACAGGAGAGCTGCGTCACAAAAAATAAACATGGAAAGGTTAGATGGTGGGGAAGGAGGTGGAAGAAATGGTCAACAAGTCCAGCAGTCCCTGCTTATACTAAATTTCCAAACAGGGCCCCATGCTGTGTATTTCCTGGGATGTTGAATATTCTCAAACTCCCATGGAAATCAGCCCTTTGCAAGGTCAAGACCCTCAGAAACGAGCAAAAGCTGAACAGATTTTAACCCACTTGACAAAAGGGAAAGTTCAGACAAGTCTAGATCCCTGTCTATGAAAACTACCACAGCTTTCGACAACAGAAGTCCCAAACCAGAATCCATTAGCTTTACTATACGAATAAACCTATTATTTTTTTTACAGGGTCAGCATGGGTTGAATCTGGCCTTAAGTTAGAAAGTCATAGTGAACTGGTCAAGCAATTCCTGTAGCATATACTAGTATTTTTTATCAGATAACTGAATTCCCTGAGACACTTACCTCCAATCTTAATCCAAAGATGCTCATGCTTTGAAACAGTTTGTTTCCCCGTTATTTCCATGAAGTCTGCATTATTTAGCTAGCTTAGTTATTACCATTTAATGTTCCACTAGATTTCTAACTGCAGTCATTGTCATTTTTTGAGCTACTCTACAACAAATATCACAGTATTGGGCTCAGCAGCATGCCAAGCTCCCTAGTGTAGGTATTATTATCTATGTAAGGGTACAACACTGAATAATTTGTACAAAACAAGGAATTTCACTTAACCAGATATTTTCCTTAACATGTGCCATAACAGTCCAGTGGTAATGGGAAGCTGGGATTTAATGAATTCAAGATTTTCTGGGATAAACTAAAGAAGTGGATAGTATGTAATTATATTCATCCTATAGCATCTTTCTTTTCTAATTTACATTATTACATATTCATTGTTTATGTTATTATTTATTTATTATAATTGATATGATTATTGCAGTAAAAAATTAAGAATGATGTATTTAAAAGCACAACATTATTACCAGCATTTAAAATATGAGTTCTTAAAAGCATTTTTATGTCTGGACAAAATGAGATGTTTATAGTTTTCCAGACCCCAAACCATAATGTCTTGCTGAAAATATCAGAGATGTTTATAAACAGAAAGAACTATGTTTGAGGTAAGGAATTTCAGAAATGTGCTTTCCTAGGACTCTAATCAAAATAAAACTTAAGAGGATTCCATTACTCTTGATTTGCACAAGAAGAAAGTGCTGACTCACCACTTGTGGGAAATAATTATTTGAGGAGTCGGTACATTTTCACTGCTTATCTATTCAGAGATCAAGACTCTTAAGGCTTGAAACAGTGTTAACCAATTAAGTTCCAGGCCTACAAACACTTGTGTGTACTTAACTTCAGTTAGGTGGCCAATTAGCTCAGCTGGTTAGAGTTCCACTACTTACAGTAATAAATTTAAGCATGTGAATATACATCAGTAAGATGGGCAGCTGAAATTGTATATGTAAATAAGGCATCATAATTGCTTCCCCTTGGGGTTTAATTGTCTACTCCAGATTCATGCTCCAGCCAAGCATGTGAAATACGTAATTCTCTGCTTCCTGGAGGTCTTATAAGAAGTCACAATAGTTTTCTTCTGGGTCATTGACTTAATCTCTCCTTTAAATATAGGCATTTTAAAAAATGATTTATTAAGATATAAATGCTCCCAATGGAGAGATTTCCAGATATTACTGATGAATGCAGTTAGAGTGATTGTAACAGTAGCTCCAACTCATCCATAATGCAAAGATCAATGTTTATTGTCTTATAAAGAAAATATGGATTGTAAATTCAACTTCATAAATATTTAACATTTGGGTCACACACCCTAAATCAATTTTTCCAGTCTTCACAATTATCAAGATATTTGGTGATTTTCTAAAAGCTTTGGTGACAAGTGACTACATGAGAATCTCCATTTTGTATCTAAAAGTTTTGTATCTTTTTTCTGTTTCTACCTTCATTGATATAGAGAAATATAGAAAGAGAATGAATCGTACAGGTTCAGAAACCAAATAAAAATTTTAAAAATCCCAAGATATTTTTGATGATTTTACAGAGGCCAACCAATTATTTTTGAATACTTCAGGTTGAAAATATGGATTGATTTTTCACCACAATCTGCGTCATGCAACAATGAGAGTTGGACCTCAGATTTGTCTTCAGTTCCATACTTGGACTGAATCCAGACCAAAGTCTAACATAGACCTAGGAAGAACTACCTGGTTCACCAGATCCATTACTTTGTGCTGGCTGGTAACTTTGCAATAGGCTTTAAATCCAAAAGGGTTCAGTCAACTTATGCTACCTTTGTAAAAAGCAGGTGTCTAGAAAACCATTTACTATTTCTGCATATGTTTCAGCTGTGCTAGAAGATTCCTTTATGAACTCATTGCTGAAATTGCTACATTTTTCCCATGCAGAGCATCTTTCTTCTTTTTGACTTGGATAAATCTGGCACCATGTCCTCCTATGAGCTTCGTAACGCCCTGAAAGCTTCAGGTAACAGGAATGTTCAGTCTTATCTGGGGAAAAATCAGAAACTAACCAACTAGCCAACTTGTAGGGCAGATCCTCAGCTATCAAGGGAGCTCTGAGAATGAACATCAGCTGTCTGATAGTAAAGACTAGATCCAAAAAAAGGACTTAAGTGGAACTTAAGCACCTTGGTCTAAGCTGTGACACTGGTAACTCCCAGTCAGCTGCTGCCAAACCCTGACAGTGCCCAGTAGAATAAGGATGCAGCTGCCACTGTCTTTTAAAACACGTGGTGATGATGCTGCCATTCCCTTCCTCATGTATATAGATGGTGGTTAAAGGATTCACCCCAAATGTGGGAGACCTGAGTTTAATTTCCTTCCCTTCTTGAAAGGATTAAAATACATATGCTTCCAGGAGAGTGCCCAGACTAAGGGCTATTCTGTGCAGAGGTGCTCTCTCTACCCTCCAGCTGAATGTGCTGCATGTACCAAGGAAGTCAAGATTCACTGGGCCAAGAGGACAGCACAAGAGAGGGCCTGATCCTGTGCCCTAGTGGGCAGGCCCTCCCTGGTTCTGTTCCCATGGCCGTGTGCATCATTTATCTGATAGTTTGGTTGTGCACTTGAGGGAAAGTGGGTTATCTATATGAATTGCTCATTGGGTGAGAATTTGTGTGAGTTGTACAATGACCTATTCATCTATTTCCAAAAAACAAACTTTGATAAAAGGAAAAACAGTGTGCTTGTCTTCTGACCAACTTGCAAATGATTGTTTACAAGTAGACATTTCCTTGTGTTGGTCCAAAGACTGCCTGCTTTAAGAGACCTGCTGTAAGTAAACCTTTGAGCCAACACAGGTTGCAGCCACTGAATGCAGACAGGCACAGCAAGCAACCACAGAGAGGATGGTGCAGCATAGGGCGGGGCTTAAAACATGCTGTTTTAGAGATCACCTCTACTAGAAAGCTGGATGAGAGGAATATAAACTATATACATGGATTTGTGTTTTACTTTGCATTTGCTAAAAGAATCCAGTTTTGCAAAAGTTCCTCGAAACTTCATGGAGGCAAAATATTCTCTCTATGAATGAACAATGTGTGGAGTGAAAACATCAACAAGTCAACAGTTTCTCATTTCAGAATACAATAATTATTTCAGATGAAAATTATTTTGCTATTAGCTCAGTTTCTGCTGGAGGCAGATTTTTCAACTAATATCTAGGCCAGAGGTTGACAAAAATACAGCTGGCGCATAAAGCCACAGGATCCAGCCAACAGAGCTGGAGTGTTTGTCCTGTACCCATCCCCATGCCCACACCAGAGCCAGGTAGCAAGCACCTGTGCCAGAACTGGGCAGTGAGCAGCTGGGCCCCAACCGCCGCCGCTGCTTCTCTCCACCCTCTTGCTGCTGGCTATAACATGGGCACAGCTTTCAGCTGGTAGGGAGCTGCACTGGGCAGCTTCCAGTTGTGCTTGTGTAGCAGCTGGGAGGTGGGGCTGAAGGGCGTGTGGGGAAAAGTGTTAGTAGCACGGACAGTTTGTAGCTGCCCAGTTCTAGTGCAGCTCCCCACCAGCTGGAAGCTGTGTTCACACCGCAGCTGGAAAGTGGGGGCTGGGAGAAGTGGTGGCAGCACGGGCACAGCTCCTGGGTGACTGGCCCCAGTGCAGGTGTAGGGAAAGCCCCCACTGCTGATGTGCTACCAAAGCCACCCAGTCCTCCTCAAACTGGAGCTGGGTTGTTCTATTTCATAGTTTATAAAGGTTCTCGGCCTCTGATCTACAACATTTATTAAAGATTCATAGATTTCCTTTCAGGTCTACTAAGTTGCTTACTGTGCACGTGTGTATGTATACATGTACAGGCTTTCAACTCAATAATTACCTGCTGCAGCTGATTGTCCTGAGATATTCTGATGAACAGTTCCAGATTGATTTTGACGATTTCCTAAACTGCTTAATTCGCTTAGAGAATGCAAGCCGTGAGTATCCACTTCTGCTGCAATTGTTTGTTCCCATTAAACATGATTTCAATGGAGTCTGCAGTGTAATATTTGAAATCAACTATGTAGTTTTAATTGCTTTCCTATCAAACAAGGGCTGTGTTTATTATTTGCTTTTGGAACAGTTCCTCTCCCATGAAATAAAAACACATCCTGCTGCTAATGGAAAAAAAATCTCTCATTGTAAATGGATCCTATGCCTCAAAGCACACCGGAAAGCATGGGAAGCACAGTGGCAAAAAGTCTGTCATGTCCCCTCCAAAATTTGGTCCACTGGTGGATAACAGTCTATGGCTGCTCTCAGTTAGTAGAGATAATCCATCAAGCGGAAGAGGTTTCCACTGTGATCTTGAAGGATGCCAGTTTAAATGCTTCTGGTGACCCAGCTGTAAGACACATGCTGGTGGTCATATCAAATGTCTTTTAAACATTGTTTTTTGCTTTTGACTGAAGATATATAAGCTATAATAGAATTATGAATTCTGTTTCTCGGTTCTGGTGGGGGTGATCATTTTGCTTATCAATAAAACCTGTGTTAAGGGTGTGTAAACCAGTTTGGATAAACTCAGAAGTGATCTTCAACTGGGCTTAAATCTCAAACCAAATCCAACCCCTTTATTAAGAGCAAAGACAATTTAGTTAACTTACTTAATTATTGTTTTTTTAAATTTGTTTGCTTCATTTGCTTCCTGGTTCTGGCCTGCAAAGGAAGAGAAGAGTCAAATACTGAGAGGGCAGTGGGGGAAAGCAGAGGAGAGAGAAAAAGAGATAAAGAATTATTTTTACTGCATTGCCACCATAATTTTTCCAAATTAAGAAATTCAGATAGCCAGGATAAAGTGCAGACAAGTTACCCAACGTGGGTGCTTACCGTACCCAAACCACCAACTGTTGGTCAAATGCCAAAGTCTTCACTCAGGGAAGAAATCTCAGGAAGTCAACAGAAGTTTTGCTTAGTAAGGGTTCACCACTCACACACAATAAGCCTGCACAGAATGCCAAATCCTCCCTCTCTGGGGAACAGCTGCTGATAAAGTGTGATATGGGAAACTTATGCCTATAAATATGGATGAGGTATATTATGTTCTGAACTTTATTTCAGGGGTATTCCAGGAACTAAGCATGAAAAACAAGGAAGTCGTTAATCTGAACATAAGTGAGGTATGGTCTTTACTTCACTGGAAACTAAAATAAGTGGAATGTTTATGGACTAAATGGGAGTTTGTTACCAACTCTAACTGGGCCAAGATTTTACCCTTGTTGCATTAATCCTTTCTCCTCTGTGCTGATTGCTCACAGTTTTGCTCCATTTCACATTCGTTGCTACCCTTCCAACTTCCTGGGTTCAGTGTAGCTGCTCAGAGTGGATTGCCTTCTGTTTCTCTCCAAATCACTGAGTATCCATGACAACCTTTTACTGTGGTCTGCACCTGATGGGTAGCCAGCATGCCATTACAGTGGCTTCACATGCTGATCAGCATCTTTTCACTGATTTTTTTCAATCCAAGCATAAAATGAGAGGCAACAGGTGGGTGCAAGAGACAGACGCAGTGAACACCAGGAAACATTGTCACCACCACCTAGCTCAGCAGACCTTAGTGTTTCAGGGCTTGCAACCTTGTTTCTAGTGTGAGCCCAGCTTTTCCAAATAAATTTCCATGCTGTCCAGAACCTCACTGAGGATGATGACCTCTAATTTGTGACCTGATACTCTGACACTCAGAGATTCACAACTCTTTCCATTTAAATAAGGTGCTTAAACTGAACAAGCCTTATGTAAAAGAGGTGCCTGGTTTCCAGGTTCTATCCCCAGTATTGGGAATTGTTACATTCTTTCAATTTTTTGCCACCCCAAGACTTCCTTTCTTATAATACCTGGCCTAATTCTGTTCTTTTATGCCCCCTCAGAATGATTTCAATTAAGTAAATTGAGTTACTTCGCCTTTTGACTTGTGTAGGTGCAGGAAGAATATGTCCTCTTGTCTTGTGTCTGCTAGCCATGAATAAGTGCTGGAATCTCATCATCATGTCTAATGAAAATATGTCTCAGCTGCTAGACCCAGGCACTGCCACTTCGGAACAGGCATCAGAAGGCACTGATTCAAAACAAGATAGAGCTGTACAGGCCTCTCTTTTTTTCTCGCTTGATGTCAGTAACTGAGCTTATTGATCTTAACATCTGGTCTTTTCTCTATACTAGTTTATCAGCCTGGCAATGAACATTTGAAGATATCCAGACCGGACTTCAGGAGTCTCTCAGGATGGTGCCCAGAGAGCCACATTCACCTTCAGTATAAATGTATATAAGAACTTTGGTGCCAAGAAAATGCTTATGCTTCCCAGCCCCTCTCATCTTCGCCCCTATCACATTAATGGAAAAGATCTTTATGGAATGAAATTTGTTTTATTTTTATAAAGATAAGTTTGGGATTTGCTACTGTGTACTCAGGGATGTATTGGAATGAGACACTTTGCTCATTTTAAGGAAGCTGAAACTGACAGTCTTACAAGACCAAGGCCTTTTATAAATACAATTATTTTTAGTTCCCATATACTAGCAGAAGGAAAACCCAGCCATTAAAAGTCTTCATTGTTGCTTAACTACCAATTAGCAAATGCATGTTAAGGTATATGCTGGATAAAACTTTGTTACACTTGAACAGCCAGACCAACACTGTAGAGAGTCTTGCAAACTAGTGGAGTTACAGATGGGCATCTACTCTTAAATACTTCTAGAGTGGTGGTGGCCCTGATTCTGGCTTGTTCAGAACAATATTTGACCCAAAGCCTGGCCTTGTTTACAAATCCTGATGAGAAACAACAGCTTTCCTTTTAGGTTCCTTTCTTCCCCTAATACCAGCCTAGTCAAGCTGTAACCCACAAGCCAACCAAGTTTTGCAGAGTAATGCACTGCAGTAATTGGCTGCCTTCATTTTCAGCAGGAGTGCATGGTCTTTTGAGATCCCTGGTTCCAGCATACATCTTGAGTAGCTAGAACCTGTTTCCACATAGACCACTCCTCTGTAGTGAAAAGAAGTGGGTTCAGACTGTGGCATTTTATGCAAATTATCTACAATCAGTATTAAGTGCCCATACCTTCCCTCAGTTTTGTGTTTCAGCCAGATCCTGCACAAGCACAGGATGTGTTATTTTTAAATCATTCCAGACAAGTGCCTACCCAGAAATCAAAGGCCTTACAGGTCTTTATATGTTAGTTCTGGCTTGTTCCCTGGAGCAAATGTACAACCTGTGTCTGCTTTGCAATAAATCATGTGTGCTGGGGCTGTTTTCTAAATCATTTTTTACAACAAATGCAACAGCTGTTTGAACAGTTTCTTATCTCTTGATGTCCAAGTCCTGTGCACCAAGTAGCTGGTGCTTTATTTTTGTAATTTGGTCTTGCAGATAGTTCTGAAAAGGAAATCAAACCATAAAAAATATGAAGTTAAAATATTAATGGTCACCTCTAAGACAGCAGCTGCTTCTTACTATCAGTAACAACCTCAGGCCTGTATAGGTCTGGATGGTTCTTGAACTATTTACAAGGTAGGCAAAGACCATGGGTATGCTACAGTATATGATGAACCAAGGGATTCAGCCCCTTACAAGATACTTATTTTTCATTACAAGATTTTATGCCTCTTTGACATTGTTGGCAAACACCTAGCATAGTTATCACATGTGAGAGCCCTTTAGCTGATTCTGGAGCTACTACTGACAGACTTATACAGGGGTGGGTCCTAAACTGCTTAAAGGGGCTGTTGTGACATAAGACAGTAGGGAGCTACATTTACATGTCAAAGTGAGCAGCAGACACTTGGTTAAAAGTGAAAGCTAGGAACATTATAAGAAAGAACCATAAGTTGTGATTAATGTAGCCAATACATGGAATGTTACTTTGCTATAATAAATGTATTTTTGTTAAAATGTTTAGATAAATTATAAGAACAAAGCAGCCTCATCAGACTATAAACTAAAGTATAGACGTAACAAACTAGTGTAAATGGAAGGGAAAGAAAACAGAATTTTCCCTTTTGGTCCTTTTTGCTTTCTCAAGGATATAAATTTTAACTAATTGACACTTTTCTGGTCCACAAGAGATCTGGTTTAATTCAGTTCTGAAAGTTTCAGTGAAACAAAGACATTTAAATAAAACCAAACAGAGTTTATTAGAATATGAGGTTTACATTTGCCAGCCATCTATAAATAGTAGGTATAGGCTAGGGGGAGATCTGGGAATTTCTATGAGACACCTGCTGGGCTGTTTGCCTGTGGGACTGTTTGGAAGACCCTCTGCTGTGGAGCCTGTGAGCCTGGCCAACTTTGATTTGTGGCAGACAAAACCTATCTGATAAGATTATGCTTTTCCTCAGCTATTAATCTTGCTTTGTCATTTAATCAATAAACTTCTCACATTGGTTGGAATGACGCAAGGATCCGTTTAAGGTTTTTTTTTTACCCATCCACCCCTATTAAAATTTGTTAACAACATCTCAAGGGGAAGTCCTATAAGTTCAGAAAAGCTTAGGATAGAATCTAGAATGAAAACTCCAATTTCAACCTTTTCCAGACCTAGGCTTTCAAGGCCAACTGTTCTGGAGATATAGCACTTGGATCAGAAGTTAGAGCCTGGACTTCAGCTCAGGCCCACCTCTCTCCAATATATATTGCTGTGCACACCTGAAGCCCAAACCTATGAATACAAGATTGTCTGCCTATGAGTGGAGCTTCATTCATCTTTATTACTAGCTTGTATCACATCTTTCTGAAGTGATGTTAAAAAGCTATGCAGGAGCAGAGGAACATCACATGGCCTGTCATCTTATCTTCCATGTTTTGATGTTTCTTTACCCAGGCTAGGGATAGGAGTGTCTCAGGGAAATTAGGCCCATTATAAGATATTGAAATAACTCAGGGAAGAATCATTGGTGGTTTTGAAAAACTTCTTTGCATTGAATAGAAGAAAATTGTTAAAACAGCTAAAGAACCAAAAAGCCTCCATCAACCCAGTTTGAGAAGTTGCCTGCAGGCTGCAGGTCCACAGAAAAGGAGACCTAACAAGCAAAACCAAGTTAGCCAATGCTCCTCCAACTCAGCCCTAGCAGAGGGGCAGGATTCTAGCCTGTACTACAGACTTTAAGACCCCCATCACCATGGCAAGAGGGCATCTCACAACCTTTTAGGGCATTTGTCCTCACAACACTGGGGACATAAGAAATGCTCCTATCCTCATTTCATTGATGAGCCTACATTAGGGTGGCCATCACAGAGGACATACCGGTTTTCTGCTATTCTGTCCTCTATTGATATGAAACCCAACACCATTATATCACATAAAGGTGTCCAGTTTCATATCAACAGAGGACAGAGGACAACCAGACTTTCCTCTGTGATGGCCACCCTAGCCTACATACCTTTGAAGATGTGGACCTTAGAGACTTGTCCAAGATTACACAGGGAATTGAATCTGGAACTCCTTAGTACCAGACTACCACTCAGTTCCTTCTCTATAGTAAAGCTCATTCTCAAAAGGAGAAAATGACCTCACAAGGAAAAGCTGCTAAGAATAGAGGACTAGGAAGTAACCCAAAGTTCTTCTGTTTGATGTGTGAGTGAGTGCGAGAGGGTGCTCCCTACCACCATAAGAATATGATGACTTTTCTCAGAAATGGGACAGCTTTCTATTTAATGAGATAATGGATTTTCAATCTACAAAGTCAGGGAGGGGAATTGCGTGTTTGATCCAAAGAGCTTAAGGTCAAATCCAGCTCTTTCTGCTTTTTTTAAAAACAAGTGTAGGCACAAAGCTATGCAACTTTACAAGATATACGGCAAACTACTTCACTGAGCTTTGACAATAGTTTGAGTATCACCTTCTCTGATGTGTCATACGCAAGTTATTAGTGAACACTGGTTCATTCTGGCAGCCATGTCTGTCTGCTGATGGAAATGTTAAAGGAGCTCATAGTAGATATAGTTTTCATAATTACACTGATTAGAAACATTCACTGAGCTACAATAGTTGCCAGAATCAGTAAGTTCTTCTACTGCCCAACACAGGCCTCAACCTCTGCCCTCCCCCGCACCCCTGTTTCTAAAGCACAGACTGCTGGATGATAGCTGAGGCTGCCTGCTGTCAACAGAATTCAGTGTCACCTGATTTCTCATAAGCTATGTGGTTATCTCGAGGCTCTTAAAGAAAATGCCTCAGCTCCTAAAGCTATCACTGAGTAGTTTCGGGAAAAGCACCTTTTTAGGTTTAACAGTATAACACAGCAGTTGGCACCGTTTTCCACCAACAAGCTAAAATGGCTCAGCTCAGCTTGGAGGCAGGCTGGTACCAGACCTGGCTGCCACCATTACTGCCACAACTTCTCCCTCCCACCTGCTGCACTGCACTGCAGGATGAAGCCCTCCCCCACCCCCCCAATGCTGCCAAAGTCCCAGGTCTGTGTACTGGATCCAGTGGCTCTGTGGGATGAGTTTGGCCTGTAGGCCATAGGGTGCCAACCCTTGGCTTAGCATCAATGCAACCAAATGAAATCAAATCAAATGAATCAAAATGCAACCAAATGAAAAAGTAGTTAATTCTGCATGCATCCCTGAGTGTCCCTGCCAACTTCTGGCAATTTGTTCATTGTCTTCCTGTATAAGACCCATACAAATATCAAGACAATATTACATCAACAACATATTAGCTAAATGACTACACAAGGGAAATAATTAACTATAACTAACAAAATTGGAAAAAAATACTTCTTTGCTCTAATTTCTCATTTAACATAAAGAAGGGTGTTTCTTGGAACAACCATAGTTGGTAAAAATATCAGACACAAGTGCTACTTGTAAGTTGCTCCTCTGAGAATTTTAGCAATTATAAAAGACAGTAGAAATTAAATGGAAGTTGAGTGCCACTCTTAAGTGTCAGTAGTTATTTCCAATAATGGAAATAAAATATTGCTACACAGAGTAACTTAATCACATTGTCTTCAACTGCATACTCACAAAAATATCATAAAAATTCTGTTGCTTGAAAACAAGAAATGTGTCCCCTGCAAGCAGATCAAAGATCAGAAGCTGTTTTGAAATGCCATCAGTAAGGTTTGAACTAAGAGACTTCATATATGAAGTAGAGATAACTTACATAAGCACATAAGAAATGCCATGCTGGGGCAAAACAAAAGTTCTTCTAATGCAAGTAATCTGTCTCCTGGCAAGAAGCAGATG